TTGAGTCCCTATGATAATAAAAGAATTGTATCTAATGTTTACACTGATACAAAACCATGGGGATTCAATGACTATTATTCATTTTAAAACAAAAGTTATTTAATAAATAAATAATAACAGTTCGTTTTTATGCTTAATTAGTTTATAATTTAATCACATTGGACATTGGAAACAATTGGAAGTCTTAAAAACTATTCTGTAAGTGACCGAATTATTTATTGTCAAATTTGAAAAATAAAAAAAATATATATTTATTGTTTAAGGAGATAATTCAATCAAGAAATCAATTTTCTATTTCAATAAACATACTAAAACAGATCGAGAGAAGAGAGAGAAAGTGGGAGAGAAGAATATTACGTAAGCAAGAATCTTAAATAAGAAGAAATATACAATAACCACAACAAGAACAGCAATACCACCAAATCCTAAAAATTAGATGTCTGGAATAAAATTCAGAACATACACTGCCGGTGTAGTAGAAGAAGTAGTATGTGGTGTTTGTAGACACACCATTAGTCGACAAACAAACAAACAAACAAACAAACAAACAAACAAACAAACAAACAAACAAACAAAAATGGACAATAATTGGAAATCCAAAACTATCATTACAACTTGTCCTGTATGTTTCCAAGCAAGACCTTGTATAAAAAACAAGGTTATTGTTTGGAATTTATAATTATTTAATAAAAAAAAAAAACATTTTTCTGTTTTTATTTATAACCTAGACATGCGCATAAAACAAATGGAAAAAGTATAAATATGTTGTTTGTTACTATTTAAGTCATTAAATAAATTCACCTTCACAAGACACTCAAGAAAATAATACTAAAACAAAAATGTTTCAGACAAAAGTACTTTTAATTGTTACTGTAGTTTGTACTTTTAGTTACATAAATTTAGCTCACACGAGTCAATTAGATACAGTCCAGGTAAAAAACTATACATTTCCAATTGAGAATGGAACATTCTATCTATATGAATTAAACAAAGACAATATAGTTTTAAACACATATCCAGCTTTCTATTTTCACGAGAAGAATTTACCTTTAGGAACTGCAATTAAAAATTCACTAAATCAAACTATAGCTTATGTAATTGGTAACCATAAAAATTACTATCCCATAGCACCGATTGAACAGACTATGCACTGTGGAAAATATGGTTTGGAAAAACTGATTGGAAATAAATCTATAGTTATTCATGATTTCACTTTTAGTCTAGATAATTTAAGAGATAATTTTGTGGAACTTGGAAACCAGAAAGTACAATGCTTTGTTTATGTTTAAAATTTTATTATTAAATAAACTATAAAATCCTATTTGTCTGTTGTTATCATTATGAGTGACAGTGTATATACCTGTATTGAATGTCATTCACCAATACACATCATTAACTACAACAGATGCTGTGTAAACATTATTTGTATTAAATGTAAGAAAAAAAGAAAACATTGTAAATTAACCCTCAATTCTCCATAATTGCAAGAAGGACTTTCAAGTGTTATTAAGTATGCAAAACGACAAAAATAATCCTTATTATGTAGTTAAAAGTTTGATTGTTAAAATAATAATAAATAGTTACTGTAATTGTTTTTTTAGTATACAATTGATAAATAAAATAAACAAATATATGAAAAAAATGCTTTTTATTTAATATATATTTGACTTACCCACTTATTTGTGTTATATATATAATTAAACCAGTAATTAGTGGGCAATGCAGCAAATGAAAGAGTACTTTTTTACTTTCCTATCTGTATACAGATATAAGGAAAGTATAGGAATCATGATTTTTTTCGACCTCAAGTTTTCGACGGATTTTTACGTTTTGAGGTCCCCTGAATCCGTTTTGACTATTTTCGCGATGATGTCTGTGTGTGTGTGTGTGTGTGTGTGTATGTGTGTGTGTGTGTGTGTGTGTGTGTGTGTGTGTGTGTGTGTGTGTGTGTGTGTGTGTGTGTGTGTGTGTGTGTGTGTGTGTGTGTGTGTGTCTGTGTGTGTGTGTGTGTCTGTATAACGCATAACTCATTAACCGATACACAGAAAAACACCAAATTTTAAACTTAAGCTTTGTTTTAGCGTCCAATGAGCTGATTAGATTTTGGGCAGAGTCGGAACATCTGGGGGGGTACTTTATAGGTGGTAATTTTTATATTTTATGGAATATATCTGTTATTAATGATGGAAGAAAAAAATTGTTCAAATAAAAGTTACTTCTATTATTATCTATAATTTTTGTTTTATGTAAAAATTTCCTGAAATGGTCCGTATTCGAGAAATTTGACAAAATGTGCAAAATTCTGATTTTTATGAAAGTTTTTAAAATAAAAGTTGTTTGCGATATCGATCTCTATAATTTTTGTTTATACATGATTTTTCTAAAATGGACCGTAATGAAAAAATTGTAGGAAATTTAAATTGTTCAGTATTTTCGTTTTCCATGAATATCTATAGAAAAATGTTTCGAGGTAGATGTATGTGGACAATGTATATATTTAGTTTATCCTCTAAACATTTATAGATGCTGCAATAGGTTGTACAAAATAACCGAAAAAAGCCTATAATAACTAGATAGGAAAGTCATGTGTTGGACACATCAGATTTTTAAGTTTATTCCAAGCTTTCGGAAATGTTTATTTCCATCATCAGGGAGACTAAAATAAAATAATACCACATATTATGATAAAGTAAGGTAAAAAATTTTTTTGTCATCACTTACATCTTAATTAAGGTTGTTCATTTTGGTGGTATTATCCAGTTTAGTAAAAATACAAAGTACTGGCACACATCACCTTGAAACAACAGACGGACTAAATGACAGACAATACGGATTCAGGGAGGGGAGGACAACGATAGACGCCATACACAACGTGACAAACAAAATTAGAGAAAACACAAAAACAAAAGACACACTATAGTTATCACTTTGGACTTAAAAAATGCATTCAACACCGCATGGACACCAAAAATTGCAGACATGTTACGAAGACGACACGTACCAACAAAACTGGCCAAAACCTGCATAAACTTCCTACAAGACAGACAAATACATACAGAGGACACCATAGACAAGACAGACAGAGGATGCCCTCAAGGCTCAAGCCTAGGGCCAATCCTCTGGTTACTGATAATGGAGGATTGGTTCGACAGCTTGGACGAAATTACAACTGACATTGACCTGACACAAGCATATGCAGACGATCAAATTTTAGTACTGGGTGGAACATCACTTAAACAATTAGAAAACAAATGGGACAGGACATGGGAAAAATGTAAACAATGGGCAAACCAAAACAAACTAACATACAACACGACAAAAACAGAGACAATGTTCATCCCCTACAAACCAACCAGACCACCGAGACTAACAGAAGACGGCCAAAACCTACAAATAAATGACACAATAACATACCTCGGACTAAAAATAGACAGTAAATTGACATGGATCGAACACATAAAACGGACAAGACAAAAAGCCACAGACATCTCAAACAAACTCTACGCAATAACAGGACGAAACTGAGGACGCAGACCTGACATACTCAGATATATTTACGAACACGGGATAAAACCCATGATACTATACGGGTCAGAAATATGGGGACATAGACATAAAGACACACGCATAACACGACACTTACACGCGACAGAAAGACCTTTCTTATTACGGATCACAAAAGCCTACAAAACCACACCAAACCTAACACTGTCAGTGTTGGCTGGAGTACCTCCACTGGCAGCAGACGCGGGAGCGAACCACCACACATACACAACCTACCACGATGACATTCTACAAAACAGGAACAAAACCACCGACAAACCGCACCCTGCACACAGACACTTGCCATTAGAACAACACAGACACACGACTCACACCACAATACACACGGACGCTAGTATCAAAAACGACAGCAAGACAATAGCCATAGCGATTACACACAACTACGCACACACAGACATAAAAATAAAAGTAGACACAACCAAGGACATTAACACACTAGAAACCATAGGAATCCTACAAGCAGTAAAACACATCACAAACAACCTCAGACACTACACCGACCAAAACATACAAATTTACACAGACTCAACAAACACAATAGCCTCACTATCCAAATCCAATACAAGACAAAAACTAATAACCGAAACACAAAAACTAACACACTTAGCGAAAGAAAACAACATCAATATAAATTACAGCCACGCAAATAGAATAACAGAAGGGGAAACGCGCCCACAAACTTGCTAACGAGGTACACAACAACTACACACAAACCATACAATACAAAGACAAAACAGACATACGCAAAAAAAGACACGACATGACCATGACTCTATGGCAAGATACATGGACCAACGGAAACACAGGACGAACCACACATAACATCATAAAGACAGTACGACACAAAAACCTACAACTAAAAAGGAAAACTATACAACTACTAACTGGACATGGAAACATGAACGAATACTTTAGACTACGCGACACAGACGGGACATGCGACATCGACGACGAAACAAAAGACACTAGACATATCATATACGACTGTAACGAACACGACAGACAAACAGCCAGGACCCGAATGACACAAAAACTACAAAGCAAAGGACTAGACTACCTACCACACGACCTAAACCTAACTGACACAGACCTGGCTAACTGGACCAACGAGTGGGCAGACAAAATGATAAAGGACGAAGACGTAGACGTAGACTAAAATTAAAACCCGGAAAACAAATAGCGGTTTGGTGATTTGGGTTTTGTACTCAAAAGAACTAAACCCTATGTTAATAATGGGCAAATATGTACATAATTTTAAGTAGACATAAATTCATAACTTTAAACTTTAACTCGAATTTAATTTATTTTGCTTCATACCTTTTTAACATTAACTCGAATTTAATTTATTTTGCTTCATACCTTTTTAAATCTGAACTTCATTTTTATTGTTTTTTTGAAATTCATTTATTTATTTTGCGGTACTATGTAAGAATAAGTTAAGATATACAAACATGTAACTGACAATGTAAAAATATCAAAAATAAATAAAGCAAGCGAAACGGTCTTCTTCCCCGCTCATTTTTGGAGTGCGGAGATGGGATGGGTTCTCTTGGCAGCGGATTCGCTAGATAACGGGTATCAAGCCCTATGCCTGACGGTTGGGGGGCTGGCCATTCAGGCCAAAACATTTCTTTCTCTGCATCATAGTTTATGGTGTTCATTATCTCTGCTTCTATGTAGAGTAGAGCTAGAGAATTCATTTTTTCTTGAGACAATGAAGACCTTTGATAATTTTTCACGCGTTTTAAACAGGAAAAACTCCTTTCCCCAGAACAATTTGTAGCCGTAGTGGAAAGTGCAATGCCAAGAGCTATATCCAAGTTAGGGTAAACATTAGACAGAGATTGATTCCTCAAAAACGTTGAGAGACTGAGTAGTGAGTTTGATCCAGGCTTCACTGCACACTCTGCAGTTTTATCAGAGCAAATGTGACTGAAAATGCACTCTTGAATCAAATCGTCCTCTAAATCATTGGTATAATATTTCACGAGAGACTCGGCTTTTTCTGTAACTCTTTGTGTTGAAAGTTCAGGCATTTTTGTTGAAAATGAAAATTTTTTTCCTCAAAGTTTAAGTAAGCATTATGCCTTCTCTGTATTTCAGCTCTCAGTCTATCAATTGCTTTTTCTTCGAAATAGTCAAAGTTTTCTCGTTCTACTATTGTAAACTCTATTAGAGATCCATAGAGATCAGATACCGTCAATACATCTACAGATGAGCTCTGAATCTGAACACTCACTTTATTTAATCTTTCCAAAATAGCATTCCAAAATACGATCTTGAACGAAGTTTAAAATTTTTCTAATTTGATGCGAATTCCCTTTGCCTCATTTCACGGGACCGGTTTTTCTGTACTGTCATTTTCAATAATTTTTAAAACTGTAGTGACTTCATCCCAGGAATCTCTTAGACTTTTACAGGCATCTGCTCTAGCCGACAAACGAGTGAGGTTCACTCTCACTGTTTTTCCTCTTCCTATCTCATTCGTTAATTTTTTCCAACGTTCAGTTGACTTCACGAAAAAAGTATATACCTCCTCTAGCAACATAAAAAAGTGGCAGGCTTCTGTACAAGACTCAGCGGCCGAGGTTCCCGCCAAATTCAATGAATGAGCTGTACAAGGAACAACCAGCAAATTGTGCCTATTCTTGAATTTTGGCTTGTAAATCATTGTAAATCCCTGACATGTTACAGGCATTATCATAAGACTGACCACGGCAATCTTTGAGATTAATGTTTAACTTTTTCAGCTCTATAGTAATGGCATCAAACATTTCTTGAGCCTTGTGTCCTACAGAAGGCAAGAATTTAATAAATCTCTCACATGGTTCTCCGTTATCTAAGACATATCGAATCACATGTGCTGCATCCGGTGTAGAATTCACAATCAAAGAAAAGTACTTTGCTTTTTTTATCTCATCACTGATGTATATCAGTACTTTTTCAGCCATTAAATAAATGAATTCGTCGCAGACAGTTTTCGAAAGGTAGCTAGTTGTTCCTGATCCCTGGTTTGCATATCTTTCAATGTGTTTGGTTAGTAATGGGTAATGCTATTAATTCTAGAAACATAATGTAATTTCCACTGTGCTGGTCACCAAATTTTTCATTACTTCCTCTAAAAGCGAGACCTCTAGAAGCTAATCCTTTTATTACAGCAACAACCCTCTTTAAAATGTTCTTCCAGTAAGAAATTTCTTCGTTAAGTTGGGCAGTTAAGGAAGATTGGATATTGCCGTGAATCATACCCCTAGCTCTTAAAGCGAGAATGCAGGATTTATTATTTAGAGAGTTTTCGTGTTGAGCTACTCGAACTTCTGCATTCTTCCAATCATTGAATCCTTCCTCGTCAAACTGTGTCCTGTTTGCAATAGATCCAAAGCCCAAACAGGGTCCACAGAATACGGAGCCTTTGCTTTCCGAATAGACGAGCCAATTCCTTTCTTTAACTTCATTATTCTTCATTTTTCTGTAAAATATATTTTTTGGTAAATAACGGCGATGATCGGAATACATTCTCGCACTTTTTGTGAAATCACAGGATTTATTTTGTTCGAAACCATTTCTTGCAATAATATCTCTCGTTAACCTAAAAAATCGTAGTGTTTTTACCACGTTGTTTGATTTTATGTTCACGTGTTGTTAAAATTGTCTTTTTTGTTTTTTGTCTCTGCATTTATTTTTAATTTTTTTATAATAAGGGTTACCACTAGCCATTGGCAGTTATTTTTGGAACTAGCAGAACAGTTTCCTGCTTTAATAACCAGTAAATTTAATGGGCCACAAGGTAAAGCCCAAGGAAATGAGTTATGGAAAACTGTTGCTGATAGACTAAATGGGCTAGGATATGGGGAAAAACTATTTTGGAATGGATGAGGGTAAGTAAATATAAACATGTTTTGTTTTGTCTAATTTGTATTTATTAAAATATAATTTTAATGTATGTATTGCTAGGTAGAAAAGTTACTATTATCCTTATGGTTGTCTAACATTATTATTTTTTATTTAATTGCTTACGTCACATTTTTAATTGTCCATTATTTCCTTATTGCTAATTACATTTTAAATTTTAAACCAAGAATATTACTTAAATTCAGTATTGATATTTTCATGTGACATTACTTTTCTGATCTCATTTACTTTCCACACAAAAACTATGAGTAGGTATTTAGTATTTAATTTTTTAGGCCCTAACAGATTGGAAATCCAAAGTCAAAGTAAAAGCATCTAAATTAAGATGTTCATCAACGTTAACAGGAGGAGGTAGTTGTGACACTCCACCGCTGACAGGCTTAGAGGAAAAACTTCTTGGTCTTATGGGAAGAAAATGTTTGGAAGTAAGAGAATTGGGACAATCATGGCCACCTACAACTAACAGGCCGGCGAATTGGATTTGGCAACACTGTCGTAATGTCAAATAGAAGGCCGGTGAAATGGCATGGAATTTAAAAGGATATATAATTTAATCCATGATACTAATGGATTAAAAAATAAAATCACCTGGATTTAAATACCTGAATGTGTATGTAGGAAGTAGGTAAATAATAAGCTTTGTATCATAAATAGTATAAATAGAGATTAAACATGTACTTACCAAATAAAATTTTTTGCTGTTAAGAACACAATTATAGTTTTAAGGAAATAATAAAAGGTTTTCCAAAAAAGGATTACTTTAATGACATATAAATGACACTTATCTCTAAAATCTTCATAAATACATACATTTTAAACAAATAATCCTAAAATAAAGGGAAGTAGGCCAGGTCTAGTTACTATGGATTACTTAAATTCAGAATTTTTTCTTTTTTTTTTGGACATTTAATTCCCTGAGACTTATTTATCTAGTCTTGTTGTTGATTGATAAGAATTGAATCTTGCCTTGTTTTTACATAATTGTTTATAAAAATATTAGCTAAAATAGGTAACATTAAATTAAGTAAAATTTTAGTTTGAGGCTGATTACAGGAACAAAAATCACGAAAAAGATATTTGTCATTATTTATTTTCATATATTCTTTCACGAATGTTATTAAAAGTAACTTTTGAGATCCACATTTTAAAAATTTTGCTTCGTATGACTCTGAAATCAAAATTTGTAATGTGTTGTGAACATAAGTAGTAACTTGCAAAACAAATTCAGATGGAACAGTTAATCCACCCCTGTTTAATATTTCAAAATAACTTTTTTTTTTATTTTTATTAGCATCAACCACTAGGGTTATTAGCTACTAACTAAATATTACAATTGGTTAATTACATTAATCATTTTCAAGAAATTGAATAATTTAACAAAATTACAATTAAGTCCTAATAATTTATTTAGGTCATTTGGAAGTGAAGTAATTTGTCTTTCTTGGGTGAATTTAGGACAGTTTATTAAAATATGGGGGATGGTTAAGTCAGTATTACATAAATCACAAACAGGTCGGGTTGTCTTGGAAATTAGGTAGCTATGTGTTAGTCTTGTATGGCCGAGACGTAACCGTGTTAATGTGACAAATAACGATCGGTTTATGATTACTTCGCACCAAGATTGAACTGACGATTTGATTTTACGTAGCACTGATCGCGAACTTTGCCACTGATTTTGCCATTCACTTATCACTTTGTCTTTGACGAATAATTTTACATCTGCAGACATCATATTTTCCACTACCGTTGAGGTATTACTGTTGACGGCTTGACGAGCGAGAGCATCTGCTTTTTCATTTCCTGGAAGCCCTACGTGTGATGGAACCCATAGAAAATGTGCCTTTAAGTTATTATCATGAAGTTGTGATAACTCGGATTTGATAAGAAGTCCTAGTGGATGATTGGTATATAGCTGTTTTATAGTGTGTAGAGAGCTGAGAGAATCTGTTACTATGAGTGATTTGGATAAATTTTGTTGATTAATGAGAGTGCTTGCAAGATGGAATATAGTTCTGCTGTATGAATGCTGGTGGAAGAGGGTAATTTGAATTCAAAATGTGAGTTGGGGAATACAACCGCTGAACCTACACCTGTGGTAGATTTAGATGCGTCTGTGTATATATGATAATAGTATTTGTAGCATGCAATTTTATTAAGAAATAGTTGTTTAATAATTGAATGAGGAGTATTCGACTTTTGGTACTGGGTAAGAGATAAGTCAAAGGATGGAAGTGGAATGATCCAAGGCGGAGTGTTTTCATTTGCTTTGAAAACTTTAGGAAATTGGATATCTAATGAGCAGAAGTATCTGTTGACTCTCTCATAGAAAGATGGATCTAAGCGAGGTTTACTATTGTATATTTCTTTGAATCTATTTGCAATGGTGTGATGGAGTGTGGGATGAGATTTTTCACCAAGTATTGTAGATGCATAGGCTAGTGAGAGATATTTCCTTCGATAGTCCAAAGATGGTTCACCAGTTAAACACTCCAGACTTCTAACTGGACTCGTTCGATACGCTCCTGTGGCTATTCGCAGTGCTGAATTTTGAATAGAATTCAGTTGAGAAAGTACTGCAATTTTGGCTGATGAGTAGACCACTGATCCATAGTCTAGTTTTGATCGGACTAGGGATTTATAGACATGTAAGAGACTTTTGTAATCTGACCCCCAGTTTTTGTTGCACAAGGTTTTCATTAGATTAAGTCCATTTTGGCAAGATCTCTTAAGGTACTTAACATGTGATTTCCAGTTGAGTTTTCTATCGAATGTCATGCCCAGGAATCTTATATTTTCTACAAATGATAAATTATTTCCATATATTTTGAGATTTGGTGTTATTGGGTTCCCAGGCAGCAAACGTACGTCATAATGACGTACCTTATAGGTCATATCAGACGTCATATTAACCCCGAAGTTGCCGTCATTCGGACGTCTAAATGACGGTCAAATGTCAGCGTCATTATGACGTCAGTATATGACGTCATTATGACGTTAGATATAGCTTGTATATGACCTTCTAGGTCACATACCAGACGTACATATGACGTCACTTAAACGTTATAAATATCGTCATTAAGACGTACTTTTTCGGTTAATTTTGGGATTTGCAGTAAAAAATGCA